TCAATGTATTTATCCAAGTGACCTGCCGCCACCAACTCCTCCAGGTGCTGTCTCAATGGTGTGCAATTCTCAGTGCGGTGCCCCCTTTTCTTTATGGAAGGTGCACCGCGATCTTTCGTCGTAGTCTTTCTGTGCTTCTCCCATCTTAGCTGGCCACTTGACGAAAGGCTCGTCTCTTATTTCGCTCAGAATCTGATATATCAGTTTCTGGAACACTGTGGTTATGGCAGTGCGGATTCTCAACCATCTTTTATCCGGGTCTTCTCCGTTATCTCGTCTGCCACGTCCGTTTCTGTTCGGTCGATCTACCGTATTAACCTTCGCTGAGGTCTTCTTTTATGGTATTGTGGATCTTAGATTTTGGGACTTGGGCTTGAGTGTGGGGGTTGGGCTTGGCCCACCCATCTTAATCTTTTTGGGCCAAGTTAGATACGTGGGCTGCAGGAATATGTACACAAAACCTAGTCTCCTCTATTGAGGATGGAATTAAACCCATCAGTTTTGCAAAATTAATTCCTGCATTTGTTGCAATGGAGCCTCTTCCTCTATCCCTCTATGTGTATAAAATAACGCCCTCTCCTTCAGCATTCTATACCAGAAATTGATATTATTCTTGTCTTCCTAAGTTTTTCAGTTTATTTTATTCTTCCTATGAGAGAGTACTGCAAAGTTCTGTTTGTTGAAGCTATTTAGTCGGTGCATTGTATAACTGGTCCAATCGTCGTATCCTGGGAGACAGACATCGAACAACCTCCAGCACCCAACTAGTGAGGCGGCGAATCTGTTTTAAGGACACTATTTAGTGCAGGCTTCGGTTTGCTTTTCTTTGCTATTTTATCTTATGATGTATTGTAATTTTCAGCATGTTTCATGTTCTGCAAATTGAATTGTTTATGAATCTATTTATATTTAATCACACAATTTGTACAACAAGCTTAAAACAGATTATATCTTTTCCATGAAATTGGACAAATAGATTTATCTTAATTTGCTAGATTTATTTTTCTCCACTGTATGATGATTCGGCTTTGCATCTGGTAGTTGGAAAATAAATAAATAAAATGAAGAACGTGTTACATTACTAGGAATAATAGCATGAAGGCTCACTGGTTTAATTAGTACAAATTTATCCATGATGTTTGGTAGTAATATGGTTCTACACTTTCTTGAAATTCCAAAAATCAGAATTTATACATGCTACTGTTCATTGTGTGCACTGTTTGTACAATAGTTGTTTATTATATATTTTATATACATAATTCACTGGTTTTTCAGAATGCAATTAAGTAATATGAATAGGCTGTTGTTTCTTTTATATAATTTTATATTTCAAAACAAAGTCATGATTAGAAATTGGTGTTGTACGGGAAAGAAATAAACCTTCTCGTATAATCCTGTTGACCAAGTCTGCTCTTCTCCGTACGTCGTCGCTTTATCACCTGAAAACACAAACGTGAGCTAGCCGGCGGGTGTGTGCCGAAAACCTCTCCGATGCCTAAGTCAGCAAGCTTGACAAATAGACAAAAGCTCTGTGTATTCAGAAAGCAAAGTTGTGTGTTACCTCTCCAAAGGTGATGTTTGTGAGCTTTTATAGGTTTCGTGTGGCACAATCTTAGTAGGACTTCTACTTCTCCATGCAGAGTCCTTCTAGGATTCATACTCTTGAAAGATAATGCTTATCCTTCAACACCCCCCTCACTGCTTAAACCAAGTGAGATGGTTTTATCATGGCCGAACTCCAATATGACCGAAGTAAACATGACTATGCATAGCCGCAGAGTAAGCCGAACTAGCTCTTCCTTTTACTGCTCTTACGTCGGCTTCTCATGCACAACCCATGGGCGCGGTTAGACCGAACTAACATGTCATGACCGGTGTAACTCCAAGACCGGTCTAACTCCAAAGTACCGTTAGACCGATCTAACTTCGATCTTCTGTCGGACCGGGCTAGCTTCACGGCCTTAGGACCGGACTAACTTTAAGTCTCCTCCGGGCCGGACTAGCTTCGGGGCTCTTGTACCGGACTAACTTTAAAGCCTTTTTACTCAGCCCTTTGTACTGTGGCTCATAACGGCCCATTACCCAGCTCGGCCAATTTTCACATAAATTACCCTCTCATATGGTATCATCTTACTCATTATTTTAGCGCGCTTTTGAACAATTGGTTGGTAAACCAATGTGACGTATGACATTTAGCATAATCTAATATTATCAAAGTAAAATGTAACTTAAAAGTGGTAATTGTGCCTTCAAAATTTGTAGCGTTAAGTAATTTTAGTTTTGAAAAAAAAATTGATATAGGTTAATATTGACGCAAGCTAATCATATGGCAAACTGTTATTTTATATTTCACTCTATTTTGGTCATAGAATGGGGTATGTTTTTCCTTCTATCTGCTTTGTCATGTTGCCGAATTCTTATTTACAATTTGGTCAACAAGCAAATTTTTTATCTTGTACTTTCAAGGGGATGGAGTCACTGTTCTGCTAAAGGCACGACAGTAACTATTGTACCTCAATTTAAAGTGTATTATGAACTTATTTTTATGATGCGAACTGTTCATTTTGTAAGATTTGTTGAGTACTTCATGTCTACTAAAAATCATATTAATCGAATATCAATAACTATATGATTGAATAGCATATTGTTTATGCTATTCTCAAAAGAAAAATTTATTATTTATTTTTTTGGTTATCGATAATATAGTTATTGATATCCGATTAATATGATTTTTGGTAGGCATGAAGTACTCAACAAACTCTACAATATGAATGGTTTGGATCATAAAAATAAGTCAATAATATACCTCAAATTGAGACACCACAGTCACTGCTATGCCTTTAGTACAACAGTGACCCCATTTTCTACTTTCAAATGGTTTTATAGTATTTTTTACACAATAACACGACACTAAGGCTAAGTTTGGCTAATCTAAAAAAGTGCATTTATTTCATCTTTTTATCTTTTTTGGGTCACATCAATCAACATCTCCTCTCTACTTTTTCTACACATAATACGAAAAAAGTCAAAAAGTATACTTATTTAGTCTTTCCAAACTTGACCTAAAAATAGACATTTCAAAATTAAGTTATTACTAAACTAATAATTTTTGAAAATGGAAAAATTTACTGCAATGCCTAGAATCCGGTCAAAATTGAATGTACGTCGTCACTAGAAGGTGATTAATTGTATCTAGATCGTCCATCAAATAACAATTTCAAGCAAGGGTGGAGGGAAGGAAGGACGAGAGGGTCACGTGCCTCCTCAATTTTGAGAATTTATTTATTTATTATTATTTTTTTTGTGTGTGTCTTGTTCTCATATATAAAATGTATATATATATTTTTTTAACATATTTTTTAGTTAAGGATTTATTGTATTGTTCACGACAAGTAATTATTTGATATTTTAAAGGCATGTTTAATTGGAAGGATTAAAGTATAGGATTGAGATTATCAATTCACGGGCCTAATTATCCTATGTTTGTTTTGATATTTTGGTTTATGATTATTAATCCAATAGATAATTAATCTAACAAATTTGTAGGATTATTAGTAATGGGGTAACGGTAGGATATTGAATACCACACTAATTTGATAGGATTATTAATACCTCACTATTAGTCTTGTGAATCAAACATGACCTAAGAGCACTATCAGGTATTATTTATGTAATAGTTTAAACTAATAGTATAACGAAAAATCTTATAGATTGAATATAATGAACTCATTATTTTCAAGCAATTTTTTTTTTTTTTGATCGGCAAAAGAAAAGCTTTATTGATGAAAACAAAACAAGAGTGATAAGAATACATCAATAAAGAAGAGGGTGCAAAAAGCATCACAGTGAAACATTTGGATCCCAACTAGGTTGGCACCAAAACGCACACCCAATCATCTGCTAGCACACACTCGAGGCTCCAAGATGGTGAGAAACCAACAAACAGAGCAGAACAAAACAAAACAAGACAAAAACAAGAAGACAACAGCCAAACACTAGCAGACCATCCCCAGCCACTGAAAATTACAAACTTACATCACCATCCCACACCGAGTTATTCTACACTATTATAAAATTTTAATTCGTTCATATTAATAATGAATATATAATTTTTTATGCTTAAATTTAACTCATAAAATTATTATTATCTTAATGTTCATCATGATTTTTTTTAAATAAAAAATTATAATTAATAGTGTCCCTTCCAACTCAATTTCTTGCCACTGTCACTGATTTGACACCAATGATCTTCCAGAGTGTTTTTTTTCTAAAATTTCCTAAAGTGGTGTATTGTGTGGTTGAGATTTAATATTAAAAAATTAATGTGACTTGTCATTAAATCTCAACCACACAATGCACCATTCTAAAAAATTTAAAAAAAAAAATACACCAGAGTGTGCTTGCTCCTGATTTGAAGGCTGGACATTAATCAGACAATTTCTCAAGTTTCTACTAATCCAATCACTCTAAGAATTTATATGCCACGTATTTTACACCACTTTCATCTTTGAGATAATGCTAACCGAGAAGGTGGCCAAAAAATAAGAGGGCCAACTTTTCTGAGATATGGCATTTACAAACTTCCTAGATTTGTAAAATAAACAATAATCATAATATTACAATATCTTTTGATTCTAAAGATTAATTACCTTACCTTGCAACATTTTACATACTAAAATCTTCTCTTTGGCTACTATAAATCCATATTTGTTTCTTCATATTTTCTTGATAAAAGAACTCAAAAATTGAAAGAAAAAGCAATCATCATCCTAATGAAGAGCAAAGTTAATAATTAAGGTATGGTTAAAATGCTTTGGTAAGGAGTTTGGTAGTCCTCAACCTTTTCACCAAACACTCCAGGAAGAAAACTGTAAACCAAATTCTCTCTCTCTCTCTCTCTCTCTCTCTCTCTCTCTCCAAAGCATTTACAGCTCCTATCCATTAAATGCTATTGCACCATCTCTACACACCTTGCAATAACTGCTTGCTGCCACAATTTTCAATTTTTTCTCCATCTTTTTCCCTTTTTCTCTCTGCCCTTTCCACCACTTCGTCCATAGCTATCTCCTCTTGATTCTCTCTTTTCTCTCTTCCCCTTCTTATCCCCTCTCTCTCTCTCTCTCTCTCTCATCTTCATCTCTCTATCTACACACCTTGGCTTCTTCTTAACCTACTTCATCCCCAAGGCCCGCCTTGTCAAAACCCACATTTACATTCTCATTCTCTGTCTTTACAATCAACAAGAGAGTCTTTCATTAGATCTATCAAGCCTTCTTTTTATAGGGTTTTTACAGAGCTTCTCAATAGCTTTTCTGTGGTCAAGTATGTATAATTGTATCTTGTTTTGTTTTAGTGGTTTTACAAAACCACCATTCTTCTTCTCGTTTCATATCATATCTCTTGTATATATCTCATTTATATCTGTTTCAATTTTACTCTTGCAGGTAGTTTTAAGAGAGAGAAAGAGATACAGAAATAAAATTTAAAAAAAAAAAAAAGTGAAGACTTGACTTAGTTGGATTCAACGTGATATATCTCTCGACTCTTGATATATAGAGCCTGAAAATCTGATCTGCGAAAAGCCTATATCAAGTATATATATATTTCACCCTGCCTTTGGATTTCATTCACTTTCTCGTGAAAGATTTGATAGACTTCAGTGAGTCCTGCCTTCTATTTTTTTTTGTGAGACCTGCCTTCTATTTTTTTTTTTTTTTGAAAATAATAAAAATAAAAAACTGTTTCTAGTCCATATAGCTTCTTCAGACATCTCCACAAGGATGTCTGAGAAATTCAATCGTCAAAGATACATCAAGAATACATATAGCATGCACTGATCACATATTTCCTATGCTGTTTAGGGTTTCTGAGGAGCGAAACATGCCTGCTGGAATCATGATCTCCGCGAGACAGATGCCAACCTTGATCGGAACTGGGGGGCCTGCATTTGGATCTTCTTCTGGGCTTACCCTTGGACAGGTTATCTCTAAAAACTCTTCGTGTACACATTTGCGTAAAAAGAAAATTTATACATAATGATATACGCGGTTTTTTATGTTGTTGTGGCTAATGTGTTTTCTTTATAGGCTCTTATGTCTAATTTTGTAGCCAATTCTTTGTTGAGACATTGATTTACCCACTTGATTTTTGATTTTCCATGACTGATTTCTCTCTCTCATCATATACATAGATCTTTCTTTTATTTCTTCCATTTTATATGGCTTAAAATGGTTTATAAAGTTGTACCCAATATAAAATGGTTTATAAGTTGTCTGATATGGATTAGCAAAAGTCATTTGCCTTTTCAAGTAAATCCATCTCGATTTTCGAAAAACGCGTATGTTCTTTTTTCTTTTTGTATTTTTCGAGAGAGAGAGAGAGAGAGAATTCAGCTATCTAAATCCAGGTCAACTGTTTCTTACTCTTTTGTCATACATTTTCAACGTGGGTTTATCTTGGAAAGCAGACAGACACAGAGGTTTTTACTCAATTTCGTTTCTTCACATCAAATAGGGTTTCTCTATTCTTTCCTTACATTTCCAGTCCTAGTTTTTCTGTACACACACAACACACATACATATATACGTAAAATAAAACATTCTTGGAGAGTATGTTTTTCTGTCTCTTGAGTGGTAAAGCAAACATATAAACAGTACGCCTGGAATTCCTTGTGATTCATAGATGTTTTGCAGTCTAACTTGATGGACGGCCAGCTTAATCCACTGGAGATTGCCCAAAGCACTGCAGAAAGTGATGTCGGAAGGATGAGAGATGACGAATTCGATAGCAAATCTGGCAGCGACAACCATGAGGGAGGCTCCGGTGAGGATCAAGACCCCAATTCGAGGAAGAGGAAAAAGCGGTATCACCGTCATACTCAGCATCAGATCCAAGAAATGGAAGCGTAAGCAAGCGCTCATATCAAACTTATTAACATTTTTGTGCTGTTTGTGATATTCTTCTTGAAAGCATCTTTAGACCTAACTTTTTTAGCCTCTTTTATGTTTTTTTTTTTTTGAATTTTTTGGTTTTTAGTTTCTTCAAAGAGTGTCCACACCCGGATGACAAGCAAAGGAAGGAACTGAGCCGTGAATTGGGGTTAGAGCCTCTGCAAATCAAGTTTTGGTTCCAAAACAAGCGCACCCAAATGAAGGTAATTGTTTTCTATTTTGCATTCTTTTCCTTAAACTATGCTTTCCAAGTATAAAACTCTCTGCATTACCATATTTTCTGTGTGAGTTTTCGTGATCTTATCTGATTACAAGAATACTTTGCAATATCTTACTGTTTTGTAATAAAATGTAGGTTGAAATTAGTCACCCCTTTGTGTTTCCTTTGCTAATTCCATTTAATTTATTTATTTTTGGTGGGTAATCTCTCACAGATGCAACATGAACGCCATGACAACACACAACTTCGAGCCGAGAACGAAAAGCTTCGGGCTGAAAACATGAGGTACAGGGAAGCTCTTAGCAATGCCTCCTGCCCCACTTGCGGAGGCCCAACTGCTTTAGGGGAAATGTCATTTGATGAGCATCATTTGCGCGTGGAGAATTCTCGATTAAGAGAAGAGGTACTTGCCAATTGCTATATATATGTAGATTTTTTTAATCAAATATTTGATAAATCTGCAGTAGTTATTTTGGCAGTGATGTTACAAGTTCTATTTGTTCTGGTTTTAGATTGACAGGATTGCTGCAATAGCTGCAAAGTATGTGGGCAAGCCTGTAGTGAACTATCCAATTGTTTCACCTCCGATCACTCCACGGTCACTTGAACTTGGGAATTTCGGTGGGCAGCCAGGCATTGGGTCGACGGAGCTATATGGGGCGGGAGACCTACTGAGGTCAATTGGTGGACATACTGATCAAGCAGATAAGCAGATGATTGTTGAGCTTGCAGTGGCAGCCATGGAGGAGCTGACCAGAATGGCCCAAATTGGTGACCCACTTTGGATGCCGGGCATTGACAACACCTATGTGCTAAATGAAGAAGAATACTTCCGGACATTTCCTAGAGGAATTGGGCCAAAGCCTATGGGGTTCAGATCTGAAGCATCGCGCGAATCTGCCGTTGTTATAATGAACCACACTAACCTTGTCGAAATTCTCATGGATGTGGTATTTCTCATATTCAAATTTTTTTAATTTTTAATTTTTTTTTCAGTTAGATGGATATTTGATTTGGTCCTAAAACAACTTGTTATGTTAATTAGAATCAATGGTCTGCTGTGTTCTCTGGTATTGTCTCGAGAGCTATGACTATGGAGGTCCTATCAACAGGAGTAGCAGGAAACTATAATGGAGCCTTGCAAGTGGTAACAAACATAGAGCTTCACTTCTCTTATTTGTCATTATTGTTAAAACATTGCAAAGTTGATTGATTGTATTCCTGGTATTTGCACAAATTGTTCTTTATGTACTAACCAATTTGCTTCTTGATACATAAACTCTGATTTTTCAGATGACTGCTGAATTCCAAGTGCTTTCACCTCTTGTTCCGACTCGGGAGACCTATTTTGTGAGGTACTGTAAGCACCATGTTGATGGGACTTGGGCAGTGGTGGATGTTTCTTTGGACAGTTTGCGCCCTAGCCCATTAGCAAGGTGCCGAAGAAGGCCATCTGGATGTTTAATTCAGGAAATGCCCAATGGATACTCAAAGGTGAAACAATTCAAATTACTAACTATTAGTTAAAGAGAATTGATACATATAAACACAAAATCTAGTCACAGAATCGGACACGCTATTCACGTACGTTCGTCTATGTCAGGTTGTGTGACCGGATTCTATATATCTAGACCATTAATGTTAGTTCAATTGAAACTTTATTAGCATTAGTATTTAGTGCTAGTTCACTAACTAATTCTCTTTTTTCTATCTGTCTGTTTATCTTTCTTGTTTTCAAATGTTGTAGGTTACATGGATAGAGCATGTTGAAGTGGATGACAGAGGTGTTCATAACATATACAAGCCACTTGTCAACTCCGGGCTTGCTTTTGGGGCAAAACGCTGGGTTTCTGCGCTTGATAGACAATCTGAACGGCTTGCAAGTGCCATGGCAACAAATCTTCCTCCTAACGATGTTGGTAATACCGGTACTTACAATTTTCCCCAACTTCTCTGACTATCATTACACAATAAACTAGTAAAAAACACTATCATTGTTAGGGCTTTACTTATGTCATTTGTTATTGCAAAGTGATAACTTCTACAGAAGGAAGGAGGAGCATGTTGAAGCTAGCAGAGCGGATGGTTACAAGCTTTTGTGGAGGAGTGAGTGCTTCCACTTCTCACACATGGACGATGCTATCTGGCAGTGGAGCTGATGATGTAAGGGTCATGACCAGGAAGAGCATAGATGATCCAGGCCGCCCTCCTGGTATTGTGCTAAGCGCTGCAACTTCATTTTGGCTTCCAGTTCCACCAAAAAGAGTGTTCGATTTCCTTCGGGATGAGCACTCTCGGAATGAGGTATTTGAACGTTCGAAAATTATTTAGTAGTATTGAAGAAACAATTCATGATGTCAATGTCATGAATAACTGTCAATTCATGATGTCAATGAAATGAACTATGTGGATTAGAAAACAATCCTGATTAAGGTAGCTTCAATAGATTGTTCTCTATCTTATTGATCACTACTTAGATATGTGCCGAGCTAATTATATTGGGATTGCAAAAAGAAATCCTTTAATTGATTATTCAATTAATATAGAAAAAAATAGGTGACACATTTTATTTTGTTCTTCTATAGATGATTTAAGTACTAGTAAAGGAAATTTCTACTTTAATTGAGTTTGACATTTCCAAACTTGATGTACAGTGATTGCTGAAACATTGTTGGTTGTGTGGGTGAACTATGCTGTGTGGACTAATATGCATACTTCAGCCATCATCTCTTTAGAAACTAAAATTATTATAATTATTTCCTTTGTATTTATAAAACCCACTACAACATATAAGAGTTTTAAAAATCAAATATTTTGGTCTTTAAAAGTGAAAATTTTGTTACAAAAGATATTTAGGGACCAATTTCTATCGTCATGAGCATATCGCTGAAAAGTCGCCCTAAAAAGTAAAAAACAAGGTTTTTAGTGACAAAATTTTGAAAATGTCACTAATAAATAGATTTTTAGGGACAAAATAATTTGATCTCAAAATAATTTATTTTTTGAGACAAAAAATTTGGTCCCAAAATGATAATAATTCATCACTAATGTTCAATTTTTGTTTCTAAAAATATAATGACAATACTTTTCGCAACAAAATTATTTAGTCCCTAAAAAATAATTTTGTCCCTAAATTTTGATCTCTAAGACCTTAATTTTTTGTAGTGACCAAGGTAAATTATTATATTATAAAATAATATAATACAATCAATGTGTTGTTATAACCTAATACGAGCATCTTGATTAATTTGTTATACTGAATCTATCAATACAAATTTTGCACTTAAATTTGTGAATAATTACTTCATAGGGACATTCATTAGTCTAGTAATAATAGATTCCCACTAAAATGTCCCTTATAGATAAATTGTTGGAGCTTTTTCTTTTTATGTATATAATTTTTATGATGTTTACATTGAAGAGTACATCTAGCACTGATCACCATTGATGGTTACAATCACAGTGGGACATCCTTTCTAATGGTGGTGTACTTCAAGAAATGGCACACATTGCAAATGGCCGGGAAACTGGCAATTCTGTGTCACTATTGAGAGTAAATGTAAGTTCAAGATTCTGTCTTGTCATTTATTTAATCATTTTTTTTATTCTAAACATTTGTGATTCAAACATTGCACTAATCACCAAATGGAAATTATTTCAGACCATTAGTGGAAGCCAGAACAATATGCTGATACTACAAGAAAGTTGCAGTGACCCAACTGGCTCATTCGTGATCTATGCACCGGTAGATGTTGTCGCAATGAACATGGTGTTAAGTGGGGGAGACCCGGACTATGTGGCCATTCTTCCATCAGGATTTGCTATACTACCAGATGGGCCAGCCGGGCATGGAGGTCACATTGGTGAAGGAGGTTCTGGTGGTTCTCTACTCACTGTGGCATTTCAGATTTTGGTTGATTCTACTCCAAATGCAAAGCTTTCTCTTGGATCAGTTGCGACTGTCAACAACCTCATTGCTTGCACTGTTGATAGGATTAAGGCTTCGGTGGCTGGTGAAAATGCATGAATTGCATGCCAAAAATGTGGGTAAGCTTCATTGATTTGTGCTACTTCAGATTGCTGACTTATTTAATTTGTTGTCCTACCTTCTTTAATTAATTTTCTTCATTCACAACGCCAATTAAATATTCATGATTATCATTGCCTAAATTTCTTAAATGCTTTTTAGGACTGGATATACATTGCTAAATTGGATTTACATTCATTGTATTGGTATCGTGCCTTGGCATGTCATCAATATGGGTTGCATATGATTTCGCTTTCTGGAGAGTGCCAATCTTGTTAGGATGCTCTAGTTTTAGCTATGATGCAGTTTTTCCCAAAATTTTGTTTCATTGATGTTTTCTTGTAAACAAAGATGTTTTGTTTTGAAGCATAACCAAGTTTCCACCAACCAATATTCCAATGTTTTATTGATGCTTCAAAACCAAACATCTTTGTTTACAAGAAAACATCAATGAAAATTAGTCTCGTCACTAATAATTCAAAAATTATCAATCCTCAAGATTATGTATCTTATTCAACATTTGGAATTTCTCTAGATAATGAGGGGATTGCTAAAACCCTACCATTTCTTAAGTTTGTTTGGAATCGGCAGGCATCCACTTCATGGTATTTTTAAATCCTTAATTCATATCCCATTTTAATCTCCCCGTTTTATATTCCACCCCAATGAGATTTAATAATTCCCTATATTGGAGGTTGACTAGGATACATAGTTCAATCCCATTACCTTTTCCCTAAACAAACACAACCTACTTGTACAATGTTTAAATTAAAAATATGTTCAATTTATGTAATAGTTTCCCTTTCAGTATTGGGAATGTGTATTACAATAATCCGATTGTAGAGATTTGTTACAATCCTTCTATTGTTTCATTATTGGCATTAAAAGTACAATAGTTAATCCTCTCAAGAAAGAGAAGCTAACAAGATTCATGAATATGCACTTTCTTTGCCTTCATGCTTACGATGTTTATTTAATTTACACCACATTTATTTTTCTTTACTTTCAACTATTTGCAAAATTTAATTTTCCTTCTCTATTTTTACTTGCTGTAGGAGCTGAATAAGGAGAAAGAGAGAAATCAGTTGGATCCCAGCTATAGAAGATGGGGAAGAAGTCAAGATCGCACCTCGTACGCTTCTTTATGTCGTTTTGTGCATGCAAAGAAGCAGCCCTTATCATTTCAGCAAAATTTGAAAGGGTTAGGGGTTCGCCATTGACTTCTCCGAACAAAGTAATTAAAAGAGAATATTACAAAAACATTAGTTTATATATATATATATTATGTTTCATCAAAGTTTCATCTGTTCTTTCTTTTTTAGGTTAGGGTTTGCATGAGTAAGGTTCGGTACTTTCTAAGCATCGTCCTGGTCCTTTTGCTTGTTCGTGTGTTTTTGAAGCTTTAGAGTGGTTGGAAGAGTTTAAACCTGTTGCAAACTCCTTTTTCATTTCTAAGATCTTCTGAAATGGTTTGCCTATAAATAATTGTGTTGTATTCTGTTTTGTGTTATTTTGTTATTAGCTAATCTTTCTTTCAATTATTTGTCAACTTATGTTATGTTTTTAAACAAAAGTTTATTGTATGATTTAATTATGTGGTGCTTGGGTCACAAGCTATATTTATTGAGATTATTTTGCATTGATGAATGGTTATTAATTTATGCTGACATTGGAATATTTGGTTGGTTGAAACTTGGTTATACTTCTTAAACAATGTCCCAAAACACTATATATACTTTGTAACCAGTACACTTTTCACTCCAATTTTAGTACTTAAATAATGTCTTAGAAAAACTCGCTAGTATTATGTCCGTAGAGTTATGTTTGTAGAATGTATGGTATCGCTGCATAAGCTTTCAAGGGAAGCCTTTTTGGATAACACAAGAGGTAAGTCTTTAACCCAACAAATTAAACATCGACACAAAAGTTTAATTGTTTAGATCAGTAACATCAAGTTAGAACACCGCATCAATTCATAAGTATTGGATAATTTCTCAAGGGGTAATTATTAAGTATTTCCAAATGTGATATTATTGACGTGGTAGTCCAAACTAGTAAGTAAAATTACAAGTTCGATATGGTGACTCACATTTGTTAGATAGTTAGGAGATAAGGAATATAAATGTGAGTTGTGATTTCTATATAGGTGAGCAATGTTACATGTCTCTCTCCTCAAAGAAAGAAAAGAGTATTGGAAAGCAGAGATTGCTTAATATGTTGAATTAATACTGAGGGTATGTTTGGTAATCATTTCGTTTTTAATTTTTAATTTATACTTACAAAAATTTTAAAAATTATCATAAAAACTTGTTTGATAATTTTTTTGATTTATAAATAGTTGTCTCGGTTTATAAATTTGAAGAAAAAACGTAAACTCAAAAAATGAGTTTACGTTGCTTTTTAAACAAAAAATTAAAAATCTGACTAATATTTTTTTTTTCAATTATTTTTTTTTTCAATTATAATGTGTATGATCCCATTGTCATAAATAATAAAAAAATAAATATAAATATTTTAGGATTGAACAAACATATTTTTTAGTTTATGTTTTTAAAATTTTTCAAACATTTTGTTCAAATCAAATGCGTTTGTAGTTTATATTTTTCTAAAAATAAATAAAAATCAACTTATAAAATTTTTATAAACATAAATTAAAAATGTAAACGTTACCAAACACTACCTAAGTGTTTGCGTTTCCCTCACATTTTTTGCTTGATTGTAATGCTTTTGGAACAAAAGTCTTGTTAACAAATGCCTAAAAGTTACAAGAAAAAACAACACTAGTGTAGTAATTAATATATTTTTTATTAGTTTCGTAACACTTTTCATTTATTTTAAAATATTTTTCTAATTATTTTAATATTTTCAAGACACTTTTTATGCCAATCCTCACATCAAACAATGCATTGCCTTAAAAACAAATAGTGGTAACCCGTGCTATACATGAGATTTTATAAATTAAAACACAAATCATTATAAATATGTTGAAGTAATTTAATATGTTATCTTGTGGTATATATGAAATTTATAAATTAATTTTTATATCTTATAACTTTTTAAATTAGTAGTTTAAAAAAATTAAAAATATATATATATAAGTCTGAGATCCTTTTTTTTTAGACCCCCACAACCCCTTTTGGATTTCACCCGCTCATGTATGTGTGGGACTCGCTCATGTATGTGTAGGGTTCACACCATCAATAGTTGAGATCCAAAATGGGTCATGGAGGTTCCTTAAAAAAGGGGTCTCAATCGTTGTTGTAAATATATTTAGTACAATTTTGATAATTTGTAATAAAAAAAAAGAGAAGTTAAACCTAATTAAATGAGGTTATATGAGCTATAATATACCTCTTTTTGTTATGAAAATAGATAAATTTAAAAATTATAATAAAGACAAATATACAATTTCATTATTAAATGTAAAGTGAAGTGATATTTAACAATAATTCATATGATGTTTCTGTTATTAATTTAATAATTTAAGTTACATTTCTTTTGATTTTTAATTTCAAAACTAAAAATACAATATGAATATAACACGCACGCTAATTTCTAGTCTTTAAGAATAAAAAAGTTTTAGAATATTTTTAACCTTTCATCATTTTCTTTTAATTTTTTTTTATCTAATTTGATTTTAAATTTGAATAAAAAATTTGATTTGTTATGAATTACTTAAACTTTTTCATTAAATTTTTATCAATTTTGAAAAAGACTTTCATTCTTATCCCAATTTTTTTTTTTTTCTTTTCATCAATTTTGATGGAAAAAAATAACGCTTCATCTTTTAAATTTTTATCAAATTATAATTTGATAAAAAAAATTTTAAAAGTTGAAAATTCTCTTAATTAGAATTATAGTGAAATAACATCTTGAAATAGTGAAAGTTTGAGTATGTAGTTGGTTGAAATGTATAATTTGATTAATTCTCTTTTCATAAATCTCACTAAAATTGTAACCAAAACCAAACTAACAACAGAGAAAGAGAATTACACAAGAAAAAAAAATAAAATTACAAAACTAATAAATTTATGGAGTGGTAGGATATTACCCCCAACAACTTAGTCCTTACCCCACCTAATCCGTCAGCTCCTTTACTAGTGCCTGTGAACCTTAGGAGTTGAGATGACTAATTAGATTATTCTTTAAATAAGACTTAAAAATTGATTAATTTGTCCCATAAAGTGATTTAAAATTTTGATAGATATACATAAAAAAAATAAATAATTATATTATTAACTCATAATTCAAATTTTGATATTGTCATATCTTATTTATTTTTGTGTGGTTTCAAATTTTGATAATTATACTTGGTTATATCTTATTTATTTTTGTGTGGTTTCTATTTTTTTTTTTGAATTTATTTAAGATGGAGTTGTGGATTTTTATTTTTTTAAATTTAATTTATCTATGGTTTCTATTTGTTTTTAATTATAATTATTTAGGTGAGTTATGATGTGAGTTAGATATGTGATAGACATGCGAGTTTTATTGATTTAAAGTATGATGGTGTGAGATATTTTCATATTAGATTTGTTTAGATAGATTTTAAAGATTTTTAAAATTTAAAATTAAGTATTTGTAGACACCCCATTTTTGACCGACCTTAAGACTCAGACGTCACCGATTGAGCGCTTGGTGATGATGCATATTGTGCTCGTTCTGAGGTTTCAGAGTATCGGCTGCGAGCCTTGCCTCCGGACTTCGGGGCTCTTTTGTGCTTTGCCTCGGTTTGCGAACTAGGTCATGTTTTCTCTATTTTCTCTTCCCGAAGGGAGAGAGAGGTCTCGTAGATTATCTCTCAGTGGCCGTAGGCTAAGTTTCGTAGTTGTAGGCCATTTTTCCCATTTGGAGACCAGTTTCCGGTTTTCGGAGCCGTCGGCCGTATGCCTCGGTTCGGGACCACTTAACTACCTCCGTTTGCTTCAGTTTTTGATACACACCTTGTTCCCTCTCTCTAGAGGGACTGTGGCCCGAGAGACCACCTTTGTGGTCGCACGCCACTTCTGGTGCCCAACAGCCTATTTTCGAAGCCCCGGGCTGCGCGTTTTGGCCCCTGAATCCTCGTTTGCATCAGTTAGGGTTCATTTTTGGCATAGACTCTATTTTCATTGTTTGGAAGGTGGTAGGAGGATGGGAGACCAGCATTTCTTTTGGAGACCATTTCTCTCTCCCCCAGTCGATTTTCTTGACAGGTAAGTGGTCTCCCTCACTTTTGGACTTTAATTTCTGGTCTCCCATACCACCATTGTGTTGTGCTCATCTGGGAGGCCACCAATATGGGTAGGCCGACCAGATTTTCTTCCTAACCCTTTTAAACCTTGCTAGAAAGCTGGTTTTCCTTTCTCCTGGCCCACAATTTCTTGTCTCCCACCATACAGCTGGGTTGTACTCATCTGGGAGGCCACCTTTCTGGTATGGCCGACCAACATTTCACATTGACCTTTTTGAACTCTGGTCGGCCTACCTTCTGCTTTTTGGCCTTCCTGAGTTGCATGCAGTTGTGCCAGCTGTGTGGCATTTGACCCACTCTCCGAGATTTCACCCTCTTGTTTGTCTTCTTAAGGAAGCTTTGGTTCATTTGCTTAGCTTCTAGGAGAAGTTTGACCTTTTTGTCAAGCTTTTTGAAGAAGCTTGACCCCTTTGGTCTAGCTTCCTCAAGAAGTTTGACCCTTTTGGTTAAGCTTCTTTTAGAAGCTTTGACCCTTTGGTCTAGCTTCCTCAAGAAGCTTGACCCTTTTGGTTAAGTTTCTTTTAGAAGCTTTGACCCTTTATTGAAGCTTCTTAGAGAAGCCTTGCCACTTTGTCTTCTATAAGAGAAGCTTTCCTCACCATTTGCAAGGGTTAGAAAAATTTGGCTGAAGCTCATACACTTCTCCCTCTATAGCCCTCTTCTTTAAGCTCCAAACCCCATTATTCTTGCACCCATTACACTGCACCTCCTAGCACAACACCTCTACCATCCATCCAAGCACCTTGGAACTGATTTGCAGAGGTTGAAGGCTCATTACCTTGGTCCAGAAGTTGCTGAGGGTCGGCTCTACAAGGGTAAGTGTCACGACCCAAACCCGCCCCCATGGGTTAAGGACGTAACCGGCCAGTAATCCTAAAATTACCTACGACCTCAAACCAAAACAGACTTAACACATCAGAGTAAAGGGGGCCAAAAGGGAAGCCAATTTTAAAACTTTGTCCATAGAGCCGTGCTTATATGCACATCATAACATAATTAACATACATATGTTAATAACTCACAACAAAAAGTGTAACGACATAAGATTCTATACAGATAGGATCACCCAAACTAAGTCAACCCATGAAAACTATACACAGACGTATTCAAAACTTCGCCAACCTGACAAAATGTAAATATATAACAAAAGGGCGAAGACGGGTCTCGTGCGTGAGACACAAGGGCTGACTCTCTCAAAACCTTAGTTGCTCCATACAGACTTCACTGAGGCTGGGTCTGGACTTCTCTTGGCTCACCTACAAACACATGAATGAGCGTGAGCGATAGCCCAGTGAATAATATCAAATGCAGAAATTACATAACAATGTAGAACAACATGTTCCAAACGGCCTTTGGCCCAA